TTGGGGAGACTAAGGCAATAAGACAACTAAATGTGGCAGGCATGGCAACTCCTGCCTGTAACTCCAGCACTTTGATAGGTCAAGGAGGGCAGATCATTTGAGGCCAGGAGTTTGAGACCAGCCTGCCCAGCATGATGAAACCCTATCTTTATTAAAAATACAAAAATTAGCTGGGTGTGTAGTACATGCCTATAGTCCCAGCTACTCAGGAGGCTGAGGCATGAGAACCACTTGAACCCAGAGGCAGAGAGATTGCAGTGAGCTGAGATCATGCCACAGCCTACAGCCTGGGTGACAGAATGTGACCTTGTCTCAGAAAAAAAAAATACAGTTAAATGCAAGGTAGGGCTCTAGCTTGACTCCTGAAACAGAAAAAGGGTATTGCTGGAAAAACCTGGTGATATCCAAATAAAGTCTACAGTTTTGTTAATAGTAACGCACCAGCATTAATTTCTTAGTTCCGATAATTGTACTATGGTTATACCAAATTAGGGATATTTAGGTTCTCTACTGTTCTTGTGACTTTAATATAAGTCTAAGATTTCAAAATAAAATGAAAAAGAAAAAAGATGCCAAATAATTTAGTGGAAAAGATTGATGATATCGTTGTAGAGACAAACAATTTCCACAAAGACATAGAAACTATTAAAAGAGAACCACATAGAGATGTCAGAACTAAAAAATACCAGTTGCTGGGTCTTACGTGGCAGGAATCCTGATGTAAATAGTCTGAGGCTGAGTACAAGCAGTTGGAAGAATATGTGTGTGTAATTTCCCAGGTAATTCTAATTATACCCAATGTTGGGAACTACTGGGCTAGCCTAATCAAGTTAGCATTAAAATATAAAGAAACTATATCGTGTGTTGTGGTTCCCTAAGACTATCCTAATACTTTGAATTTCCTCAGAAGAACTCATGGGGATCACCTAGTTTGAATCACAGCTAAGATTCCTTCCAGCAACGTAGTAAGGATATACAGCCTGACTGTAAGAGAAAAGCTATGGTTGAGTCCTGAGAAACCTTTGTGCAGGCTTCCTCATGCTTTCTCCCTCCTGCCAGGAGTCACCCAGGAGCATGCTTCTTTCTCCAGCAACAAGCATCCGCTGATTCTGCTCAGGGAAGCCCATTAGATAAGCCAAGGTTCTTATTAGAAAAGCCCAAGGTTTTTATGGGGAGCTGGTCACATAAGCACCCTCTGCCTAACATGTACCCAGCTCAGACTCCCAAAAGGAAAGCGGGTGTTCGGTGTAAAACCACATTGTGTAGAGGCACAGGGAGTCACTCTTCCCAGTTAGGAAAAGTTAAAATAATTGTAAGGAACTGTGTACCAGTCAAATTTTCTGACGCCAGGCAAGGGACAACCCCAATCCCTATGATAACTTTGTGGGGTGGATATTATCTTACGTTACAGGTGATGGAATTTGAAGTTTAGAGAGTTTTCTTTTATCCCCAAGAGACAATTTACCCCAACATCACAGCCAGAAAATAGTTATCCAAACCCACAGTTCAGTTCTGATACATTCTGTTCTGAATCCTCATTTTTTTCTCATTGAAGTTAGGGATAGTTTTCCCTCTGTTTACCACAGAGCATTTTTGAGCATAAGAGACGATGTCTTCAAAAGTATCGAGAAAGGTATGATGCAAATCCTATTTTTCCCATTGTTATCATCAATGTAGGTAGTTTTAACAATAAGAGGGGCCTCAGGTATATCAATAAATATAACATTTGAACAATCAGCTTTAGGATTTTCCTGAATCTCTTTTCTACATAACAGTAGTATATGAAAGTACAAAATTTCCAAATCATTGTTAGTTTGCTTTTTATTTTAAATGTAAGTATCTGGGCATTTGCTTTTTATATGTTTGTTTCCGCTTATTCCTGGACCATGTGAACTTTTTTGTAAGCAGCTACACAATTCAAAGCTGCTGACAATTAACCAACTTGTTACAAAATATGTGCTTCTTCAACCTCTCTGGTAGTTCTATTTCAATAACCATTAAGCTCCATTTTACTACCAACACTCCTACATGTATTTTGGCACCTGGAAACTGAAAGGTGAAAGAAAAGGCCTATTCTATTCTCTGCTGGAACAAATCTTCCCTTTGCACGGTGTCCTAGAGGGCACCCATGGTTTCTCCCTGGAGCCCGGGAGCAGGACGTGGCTGGCTGATCCAGAGAGGAGGCCGCTGTAAAAACTTCAAAGAGGAGCCATCCTTATGGTCTTGTTCTTGTGGTAGAATCATCTCTCATGGGACAAGCCATGGCTGTTGCAAAATTGATGCTGATGGAAGCAAAGATGCTGATTTAGAATTTCCAGTAAATGATAATAAAGAGTCTAAGTTTCAAGGAGTTGGCAAACTTACTGTAAAAGGCCAGATAGTAAATATATTAGGTTTTGTAGGCCGTATGGTGTCCATGACTCAGCTCTGCTGTTGCAAGTAGCCTTAAACGATATGCAAACACATGGGCATGGCTGTGTTTTAATAAAACTTTATTCACAAAAAAAGGCAGTCAGTTGGATTTGATTTACAAGCTGCAGTTTGCTAGCATCTGTTCATTAGCAGACTTTGCTATCTGTGTGCTTTCCTCTAATATAAGATATCCAGGGAATTGTTAACTTCTTTATCCATAATGTACTTAATTATTCCTTCCTAGAGCATAAGCACAGTCTCCATATACAAATGCAAGAAGTGGCATGAGATTGGTTTGCATACTTAATTTTCTTTATGATGGACATCAGTACTCATCTTTCTTAAATACAGAAATGCAGATAGAGCCTGTGTGTGTTAATCAACAGCACAAAAACCACTTTATCTATCACACTGCCACATCCTACATGGAGAACAGCTGGCATCTGACTGCTTTTGCAAAGTGCATTCAGGTACAATGACAAAGAATTGTCTCCAGACCCCTATATACTATACTACATCTGGAAAAAAAAAAAAAAAGTTAGGTTGTAGAATCACCAGAACTCATATTGGCCCAAGCATGCAGAAATTCTTGGAAGACCAAACTCTACAAACACAAGTAAAATCTAAGTAAGGCTTTCTGGTTCACAGTAGCTTTATTCCAATATGCAGTCTGAATTTCAAAACACAGCTTTGCTTATTTAGTGATTGATTTGCACAAAATATCAGTGCCATAAAACACGATTTGAATTTTAACGATGGATATCTTGGGTATTCTCCCTCTGCATTAAAACCATGGCCAGTTGTATCATATAGTAATTACAACCAGTAGATGGCATCTAATAGCTAGAATAATATTTTGGAACTATTTTTAACATCAGACGTGCTGACTTATGAGGGCTCACCCTCTTATGTTATTTATATTGGATCATTTTAATTTTTAGCCTTAATCATCACAGTTGAATTTTAAAATTTCCATCCAATCGATTCACATAAAGGGTTACAAAAAGAAGAAAAAACAATCCTCAATTTCAACTGGATAGTTCTTTTGCATTTCCACATAATAAGCAGATTAATGTTATGAAATTTAAAAATTGATATCACTTGAAGACATTAAACACTGAACACAGGCATTTCAAATATAGTTGGCTCTCTATGATTGAATAAAGCTGAGTTGCTAATTGCTGGACCAGGACCAAAAAATATATAATGAGTGTAACACCAAACACCATCCAACTTGAACAAATTCAATGAGTCAATTGAGTTTAAAAGTTTCACAAATAATTAAATTACCGAATAGGATAGAGCAGAAGGAGAAAAACCAAATGATTGAATTCTGTCCCTTAGAGCTCAATTTGCTTTTTAGCTGACTGTATTTAGTTATCTGCAATTGCAAAAAACTAATGTCATTAAAAACCCATCCATTTTCTTATGCAGCCTCAACAGATCATCAGTGGGTTTCACCACTTACAGATAATATACTTCTTAAAAAGAAGCAAAATCTGCCAGTCTGAACTCTTTCTTTTCCCTGGAATGCTCATCAACGCCAGTATCTTAGATTATAATCTGTGGTCAAGAATAAAAAGAATGCTTCTTTATGTTTTCCAGGTTGTGATCTACATATTTTGGTGTCTGAGTTAGATGGATTGCATAAATAAAACAGCTTTCTTGGAAATGTGAAGGACAGAGGTCTGTGGGGGGAAAAGAATCATCTAATCAGAGACTTGTTTCTTACTTTAATCACGAGCCATAAAAACAGCCAAATCCCATGTCATGCTGCAGTAAAGGTTACATCAACACTTCATACAATATTTATAGTGTAAAAGAAGCCCTGCAGTCCGACTCCAATATGACATTAATCTTCCTGTTGTCTTTATCCCTCATTCCATCCTCCCACCTCACTCCTACCCCTTCCCTCAACTAAGTGTGCCGCTTGGTGCCACTCATATCGTGGAGATAACTGATGGGAGAGCACTGATACAGCAAGAAATCTAGACCACAAAACAAACAGAGAAATATATCAGAGCCTAAGGAAGCTGCATTATACCTTTTAAGGAAGGGGGTCAACCATTTCAGTTTGCCCCAGTTTGAGGGGATTCCTGGATGTGGAACTTCCAGTGCTAGGACCAATAATGTCCCAGACGAACCAGGAAAAGTTTGTGACTTAATGTTTAAGAGGCTTATGGCTTCATTCAGAATTATTTATTACATCTTAGTCGTATAAGAAATCACCAAGACCAAGACATGGTACTGGGATGTTCTCCTTAAAGCCTGCTGCTACTGAGACTAAGGTCAGGGTTTAATTTCCACAAGAGCCAGACAGCTTGTCTATGATCCCAGACTTCTTCGTTAAACACAACCATCTAGGCTCATAGGTTTAGGGAGGGTGAGACAGGGCTTTCCAGAGCTAACAAGTCAAGGAACTAAATAGCTACATTGGGAGTAGCATCTAAAATCAGAGAGCTTACTGGCAGTCTTTCCCTACGGTATTGCCTATTCTGTAATTCACTGAAAACTTACTTATACTCCAAAGAATGCATCAGAGCAGCTGAAAAGCCATGCAGGCATAAGGATTCAATCAACCTAATTACCGTTCTTCTCCATGAAGCTGCTCCGGATAACTTGAGGAGCGTCAGGTGGGATTAGAAAGCTTTGCTGCCTGGAAGTCTATCCTCATTTCTTGAAAAGCTCTCTCCCGACTTCTGGTAAACAAGTGATGATGAAAGTTACGGCAGTGGGTCGCAGGCTACATGATCACCTTTACTGCAACAATTTAGGGAATGGCAATATATGATCAGCAATTGAATAGCCGAAGTTATTCAAAGGTCCCCTTGGTAATTGTACACTGAAAACTCAAAACTAGCATTGTTGCATTTAGTACAAGCCATGTCACAGAAAATGACTTTATTATAACACAATCCCTTCTGATAACACCGTTCACATGAGGCTAGGTAGAGGAAGCAGAGAGAAGATTTTCCCCTTTCGCCTGTACTCCACGCTAGTTATTCCATTTCCCCAGCCATGCCTTAGAAGCCCCCTCACCTTGCATCCACATTCGCCTTCCCTGAGATCAGCACCAGCTCAGAGACTTCTGCTCACTAGAGTCTTGTTGCTTTTTAGTCCCCCTTATTCTAAGGGGACCCTGGAGCATCTCAGTATTCTTCTTTGGAATCTGGATTTGTGGGAAAGCATGGCCAGCCCTGCCCTGTGTGTGTGTGGTGTGCATACTTGTGCACAGAGGCCTCTGCCAGGAGAAGTGGCAGATTGGCTGTGTAGGCAGCAGTTTCATGGAACCCAGAAATAAGTTCCGTGGTATATGCAAATGTAAGCAATGGGGGCAGCAGAATAGGCCTCTAGGTTCAAAAATGGCAATTCTCTCCAAGAGACCAGCCTTTTTCAAAATCAGACCACAAAAACTTACTCTTACGAAAAATGCCTCCCTCTGAATGAATCTCAAGTTTCTGTTAGTAGGTCATTGGTGACTTCTTAAAAAGCCGTTAAGTAGCTTACAAAAATATGTTATCCTGGAAAGGGAATAATGTATTACATGTAGTTGTTCCAGAGTTCAAGAGAGAGGAAGAGCAGATAGATACATTTTGACTCTAGATCCCTATGACCGGTACTTGAAAACAGTCCCAGGGAACCGACTGGTAAGGAGTTGGGGGGATAAGGTTACAGGTAGTCTACCTGACAATCTTATCAAAGGCCAGTAGCACCTCCTCTCTTTTGCCTTCTTTTCCTATGAAGGGAAAAGGTGAAAAAAGATTCACACGTGGTACAGCCTTCCCAGTCATGGTGCCACAGGGATTTCAAACAAAATGTCCGCATCAAAAAGAGAAACTAATTTTCATTCTCTACTTTCACACAATACTTTCAACACTTCGACAATTTAATTTTTGGGCAGACACCCACTGGGTGTCCTACCATTTAACACAATTCTGACACAATCTACCTGGAAATAGCATCAAATCCCCCAGGTTAAGGGTTTGGTCCCACAGGACTAACTCCATTCAGACACCAGTCACAGGTCCAGGTGCTTCTGATAGACCAAATGTAAATGGGGGCTTCCATTATTCCCTCCTCAGGTTGTATAATTTGTTGTAATGGCTCACGGAACTCAGGAAAACAGTTTACTTACTAGATTCCAGGTTTTTTATAAAAAGAATACAACTTAGGAACAGCCAGATGGAACAAATGTATAGGGCAAGGTATGGGAGATGGGGCAGTGAGCTTCCATGTCCTCTCTGGGTGCAATACCCTGCCAGCACCTCCACGTGCTCAGCAGCCTGCAAGCTCTCCAAACCTTATCATTTTGGATTTTCAATAGATGATTTATTATATAGGCATGACTGATTAAATCATTGGGCATTGGCGATTAGATCAGTCTCTAACCCCTCTGCACTCCCCAGAGGTTGATGAGCGGGGCTGCAAGTTCTGAGCCTTTAATCATGTGGTTTGTTTCCCCTGGCAACCAGCCCCCATCCTTAAGGGGTTTCCAAAATTACTTCATTAACATAAGCTCAGGTGTAGATGAAAGGGGCTTGTTATGAATAACAAAAGATGCTCCTGTCACCTTCATCATTCTTATCACTTAGGAAATTAAAAGGGCTTTAGGAGCTCTGGCCAGAAACCTTGGAATGAGGATTATGTCCTAATACCGCAGTATCATGTATCTGAATCTGTTTAGCCCTAGCCCTTGGAAAGCAAGGGACGTGCTTGAGAGTAGCTAAATATTATACGTCATTTTTAATAAAGATAGGTCTTAATACAGATTTGGATACCTGGAAAGAAAATATTTGCAGCCCAGCAATTTAAAAACCAATATGTGAGCCTTTTCTTCCTTTTTAAATTAGAACTGAGGGACTGTCATTCACCTTTTCTATTGGATAAATAATTTTATGAAAGAGGTGTGGTAAAATGATTGAGAATAGAGGCTCCGTAGTTGGACTATCTGGGTTCAGATCCTAGTTCTGCCATTTTGTGTGTAGAATAAAAAAAGCTACTTGAAATTTAATCGGTAAGTTGAAGATGTTGGGGGTTCCTACAACATAGTGTGCATGAAGTGTGACTAAATAGATGCCTAGAATTACAACTGGCACATAGCAAATTCTTGTTATTTGTAATAATTGTCATCACTGAAATTATCACCCTTTGTGAATTTGGGTAGAGGTTTTCACTAAGATAGCAGAAGAAAGGAATTTTACTTATTCCTGGAGGAAGGAAAAAATGATGCATCATTAATTGTTATTTGTATTAACTATCCTGACTAGGAAAAAGTGTTCAGTAAATGGATGTCATACAAATCACTGGCTGCATTTATTGCTTCTGTGACAACACATCTCAGATTGTTCTGGGATCGTTTTATAACATTTAACACATTCTGTTTCTACGTTGCTATAAACTTCTGGAATATCTCAGATATTCCAAACTTACGGCCTTTTCACATAAAGGGAACTTAAAATTTCCCTAAGTTGTCGCTTTCTGATTTTAGTTTGAAAATATCATATGGCCACCTCAGTACACTTTCTATTGTATTCCTGTGCTCTTGCCAGTTTCTTTCTGGGTCACACAATTCCAGCGCACACTGATAACACAACTGTGCTTATGTATTACTTATTTTGTTCTTTAGAAGTTCAAGTCTTTTTCAAGGCTATTCAGGAGAATGTTGGACCTGTGTCAAGAAGCTTACAGAACTAAAACAAACCTCAGTAGAACATTTACAAAGGCAAAGAAATTATTTCAAATGAGACTACGATGTGTTCATAAGATTATTCTATTCTGTATTCAAGACCCAGCTCAAACGTCAGCGACTTTGTTAGCCTTTCTCAATTTTCCAAATCGTGTTTGTTCCCATATTTGAAGTTGACAGTACTCTTGTCATAGTTTCATTATGGCATTTGTCATATTGTAGCTTATCTATCTGCAAGCTGTCGTCCAAATGACCACCAGGATGGCTGAACAGTAGAAAGGAGAGCTTTGCTAGAGATACCGGATTGCAAGCTGGGAAGAGAACGCCACCACCTTGGACTGAAGAGGGGGAAGGACAGGTTGGGTTTTAAGCCTCATAGGGCTGGTATCATACATATTCAGCAGATTTCAGGGGAATAATACATTTATGAGGGGAGTGAATGCATGCACAATGGGTAAACATATATGTAATCTACATGCCATGCTCTCTTTGGGGTGGGGTTTGAGCATTAAAATGAGGTAGAATTTGGCTCATTATGTTAAAAGGGGAACTATAGGCCACAAAGACAGCTTGTGTGTTGCCTTATCCACTGGCTGGAACTGGCATGGGGTCTGTAATAGCTTATCAGGAAAGAGTGCCTGTAAGACCAGTCCCCTGTCCAATCAGAGTTGCAGTGGTCTGGGTTGTAAATCAGCCTGATAACTCCTTTTGGTTGGGGGCTGAGCAAGAGTGGGGTTTTTCTTATAGTCGTAGGAATTTAGAAATTTGCTGTGCGATGCCATCCAGGTCCTGAACCCTTGACCCATAGGTCACTCTTTCCTTATCCATGGGGTCTTAGTTGGTATAGTCTCTCACATCACAAAGTCCAACCCCTTTCCTCTTCTTCTACTCCCTTGCTCCCCAACGCCTATGCATGCTCCAGTGTAGGGACTTCTCCAGGTAGTCTCAGCCACTAGTACAGCATATAGCATAGAGTGGGTGCCCCCAAGATGCTTATCAAATATGGTGGTGCTCACCGTCATCAGGTTCACCTCTCCTCCATTGTACTCAGAGGACCATGATTTCTAGATCACTTGCAACCAGGGCCCATGTGCAGTTCTTTCCACTGGGATGAAAGCAGAAGTGATGAGCGTCACTTCAGGTTGACACCTAGAGAGTGTGAGATCCTAAAACTGTGGCAAAGATGGAAGGGACACATAGAGGTGGCAGTGTCTCCAGCAGCCTAGGCTCTTGGGTAGCCAAGGAGCAGAGCTCCTTGCTGCCCACTTTGGAGGTGATTAAAAAGGTAAACCTTTATGGTTTAGCTACTGAGATTTGAGGGGCTTTGTTACCACAGCATATCCTATCCTATCCTGACTAATACACAGTGGATGACAAAGACTTTGACTTTTTTAGATTTAGACATCAGACTGGAAGCATCTTAGCATCACAGGAAAAATACCCTATCAAGGAGTCAGAAAACAAAATGTGTACAAGCGTGTACGTGCACTTGTATTTTAAACGCTGACAAAGTCTTGACATTTTTACTTCCTCAGGGTTAAAACTGGGGGGTTGAACTGAAATGATTCTAAGGCCCATATACTATGATTCCATGAATTCGAAGAAATTAATTTCAAGGTTAAATGCTCAAATTTAAGACGTCATTGATCATGAGCTCTAAGTTAGAAAAGATCACTGATAACTACAAACCCAGGGTAGAATCTCATTTCTAGTTCCTTAGCAAGAACACTTTCCCCTTCACCTACTTCCAGAAAAAAATGGTTTCTATACAATTACACAACCTATTGCCTATCAAAATCATCTGGTTATTCAAGACAGAGTTTTGCCTGCCCCACTTAACCTTCTAGGCAAATTGGCATTATAGAAATGGAGCTCCTCGGCTTATCCTGCATAGTGCAAATCGTCCCAAGGGAAAGAAACTGTAGCTTTAACTAAATGGGCAGGTCCAATCTGGCTGTCTGTCAGCAGGTGGCTTTGAAGTGATGCAGACAAATCCATGAGTTCATAGTTGATGTTAAGTCCCATTCGGTGCAATTGGGCTCTGCCACATTGTTCTCTGATGATATGCTTTGGGTCTGTGTCCCACTCAAATCTCATCTCGAATTGTAATTCCCATATGTCAAGGGAGGGACATAGTGGGAGGCGACTGGACTATGGGGACGGTTATCCCTATGCTGTTCTCATGATAGTGAGTGAATTCTCACAAGATCTGATTGCTTGATAAGTGGGGGGCTCTTCCCCCTTCATGCATTCTTTTTCTCTCTCCTGCTGCCTTGTGAAGAAGGTACCTGCTTCCCCTTCCACCATGATTGTAAGTTTCTTGAGGCCTCCCCAGCCATGTAGAACTGTGAGTCAATTAAACTTATTTATAAATTAATCAGTCTCAGGGAAGTTCTTCATAGCAGTGTGAGAATGGTCTGATACATCTGGATATTTCATGGTGTTTATATTAGGGGCAGGTTTACCAATCGCAGCCTAGGTCAGAACTCAACCATCACTAGAGATGCACTTGCTACAGAATTTCACTA